CCACCAGTATCGCTAGCAGATGTTATACCACCTATCATAGTTGACTAGTAGTTTGTTATACCACCCATCATTGTTGACTAGTTTGTTATACCACCCATCACTGTTGACTAGTAGTTTGTTATACCACCCATCATTGTTGATTAGTAGTTTGTTATACCACCCATCATTGTTGACTAGTAGTTTGTTATACCCCTCATTGTTGATAGTTTTTTAAACCCACCCATCAGTTGATATATTTTTTTTATACCATCATCATTGGATTAGTATTTTGTTAACCCCCCATCCTGTGCTAGTTTTTTTGTTATACCACCACCCATTTTTGTTTAGTAATTTTTTATACCACCTCATTGTTGATTAGTAGTTTGTTATACCCCCCCATCTTTCTTATTGTTTGTTTTACCACCTTATTTTTGACTAGTGGGTTTGTTAAACTTCCCATATAATTAACTATTTGTTTTTTAAACCCCACTCTTATAGCAGATTTTAAATTTTGTTATACCCCCCATCAAAATGGGCTACCAGTTTGAAGAATAAAGGTCACATTACCAGGGCTGAAAAATTAATAGCAATCTATATATAAAAACGAGAAAAAGACAGGTTCTGCCCAAGCTGCCCCTTAAATTTTTACGTAGTTCTCAAGGACCCCAAAAAATTTTTTTCACACTGTTTATGATTGTTGTAATTCTGTTTATTTGTCATATGAAAATTTCCATCCACAAAATTTTAGAAATAGGGAAAGACATTATCTGTAATAAGTCACTGGGAGGGATGTTTAGACCTGGAACCCTCAGAATGGCAGAGATAGAGGGCCTATTTTATAACATCCACTCCTTTTGCAAACCCAAATTTCCTCTTCTTTCCCTTTCTTTTTTGAAAAAATTTCCTAAAAAGGACGGCATAACAAGGTCATGTCTATTTCCTGACCCTGTTTTTATTATATTTTTATCCTGCCCCGGTGTGCTTCCCCTCACACTGCTGATTTGCACCAGGGTTTGAAACCGCAGTTTGGACCAGCACCACTGAGCGGGCATTTTAACAGCCCGTGTCGGGGCCCTTCCTTGCAAATATTTTATTATTTTACATTCTAGGGAACCAAAAAGGAAGGCTCATTTCCATGCACCATAATAACGTTTCTCTCCTTCTATTTACTTGGCTGCTGACGAGGGGTCTCGAAATTCAAAAAATTTTTTATATAAATAAATGAATTTTGTTTTCTTTAAAATTTTTTTAAAGTGTGTTGAAGTATGACAACCCCTTCATCTTGGCTGACCTAAATTGTAAAGTTATAGATTTCACTTGACAGTGTGTAGACAAAAAATTTCAGGGCCCGGCATTGAGCCCCTCAAGTGACAATGGCTTTTAACATGCAAAATACCTTACATATGTATATAACAGCCTTGTGCGATGAGTCTAAGGCCACTTTTGCGAATAATACTAAAAAGCTGTCTAGCAGTCATTATGAATGACTGTTTCAAGAATGATTCTTTTATTTTTAATCATATATATGCATTACAGACAGACTTAGATACGATCAAATAAATTTATTCCAAAGGTTTGTGATGGAATGCGTCACCTCTTGAAATTTACATTGTAATCAATGAAAGCTAGACAGCCATTACATACTATCATTTCAAGCTAAAAAATATTTTCTTTCTAACAAGTGTGAGCTAGATCATCCAAGCTATCAGGCAAGATCGTGAAGTTTGCTATTAAAACTGTGAGCTTAATTCAAGTTGCTAACAATATAGAAGTCTAAACTCAAAACTTTCTAACAAGGTGAGCTAGGCATCCTATGCCTGAATAATAACAATGTTCTACCAGTATATAGTGCACTTTTTTCCCACTTTCCAAAGTGGCCTCAATTAAGCTGTCAGTTTATGGTAATAGGGCACTACTTTCAAGTCAAGTCATCAAGACAATGAGTTCATTAAACCCCTGCGGGGACAAAAGGCTAGATTTAAATAAAGCTTTTGTTTGCTAGTAGTGTCCTCTTATAATTTTGGAGTGGGCAATCCTGCCATTCGCATAAAATGTCTATTTTCTTCTTAAATTTTGTATCGCCAAATCCTTAAGAAGTAAACAGCTTAAATTTGTAACCCTAAAATAAATAATGAAAATATAAGAGGTTCTGAGGAAGAAGTACTTCAAACTACACTCTTCATATTATAATCAGTGCCATTCAGACCATTGTCAAACACATAAGTTCTCGCTAACAACGGCTAAAATACATGGGATGAATATCATCTCACAACTAACCCACATGTTGTTAGTTGTGAATTGTTCCAGCCACTGTATTGTGACTTACTGTCCTTGTAGACCGTTAAGGAAACCGTGTGGAGAAAGTGTTGGACAGCTTTAGCATCTATGGTATACTTCAACCTCAGATATAAAACATTAACAAGAGCATTCTACCAAATCCGTAGCGATTTATTAACTGCCTGTTAGATGTCGCTCTAAAATAGAAAAGCATTTGTGTGTAATACATTTTCTAGATTTCAAAAAGCAAAGTGTTAGCCAAAAACTACAATGGTATTGGTTAGGTTAAAAGAAATTGATAAATTAGACACATGTTGCATATGTGTCTAATTTATCAACTTGTTGGTTCTGTGAACCCTTCATATAGGATAAAAGAAGTACATAACTGTATAATGAAGAATTCTGATGCAATAAAGTAACGAGGTAGTTATCACTACATGGCATATATGTTTTACAAGCAATCAACACCCGGCTCAAAAAAAGTATTTATTTAATGTGACTCTTTTCTAAATGGAGTGATTAAAAACCGAAAATAGGAACGCTATAATAATCCTGTTACCTTGAAATTAAATATAATTAGCAATAAAGGCACGAAAAAATATTATAATAAATTTTCTAAGTGCATTAAACGTAAACCAATCTAACGATTACCTTATTCGGAATAGAGTTGAAATCATGGAAACTTGTGTGGCTATTTCACATAACGATTATCTCACGGAAATTCTCCAATGTGTAGGTATTTCCTCGTTCCATAAAAAATAGTTACCTATAACATAAAAAACCCAAAACATACAAAAACAGAAAAAAATAATTATAGATAAAGGTGATAATGTTCTGTCGCACAGACAACACGCAGCCACTGACCCAGGATTTTCAGTTTAAGGTTCCTTCATCCGTCATCCATTTGATTGTGTTCACAACAGGAAAATGATGTCTGTCATTAATAGGAAAAGCTGGAATTATTTTTAAGAATTTAATTCTTCACTTGAAATAAAATAACAAAGGTACATTTTAGAATGAGCTTCATAGATTCGGATAAGTAATGATTATGACTAGTATGTAATTTATGTGAGACACGAGATGAGAACTACAACTACACGCATACAACGTTGTGAAAGTAGTTGGATGTGAATGTAGCCTGCTTTCGCTAGTAAATTAGCATATAACCTGCTTCCACTAGTGCAGTTATGTGCTCTGCTTCCACTAGTGCAGTTATGTGCTCTGCTTCCGCTAGTGTGTTATCATGTAGTCTGCTTGTCTAGTGTGCTCTCATACGTTTCACTTTTAATCCACATTAAATGGTAAAAAAAAAACACTAGTTTTTGAAAGCCAGTGGTTGTTTAACTACAGTCATGTAGCACTGGTAAGCCAGTGGTTGTTTAACTACAGTCATGTAGCACTGGTAAGCCAGTGGTTGTTTAACCAGTTATGTAGCATTGGTAAGCCAGTGGCTGTTTAACCCCAGTCATGTAGCACTGGTAAGCCAGTGGTTGTTTAACCAGTCATGTAGCACTGGTAAGCCAGTGGCTGTTTAACCACAGTCATGTAGCATTGGTAAGCCAGTGGTTGTTTAACCAGTCATGTAGCACTGGTAAGCCAGTGGTCGTTTAACCAGTCATGTAGCACTGGTAAGCCAGTGGTTGTTTAACCAGTCATGTAGCACTGGTAAGCCAGTGGTTGTTTAACCACAGTCATGTAGCATTGGTAAGCCAGTGGTTGTTTAACCACAGTCATGTAGCATTGGTAAGCCAGTGGTTGTTTAACCACAGTCATGTAGCACTGGTAAGCCAGTGGTTGTTTAACCACAGTCATGTAGCATTGGTAAGCCAGTGGTTGTTTAACCACAGTCATGTATCACTGGTAAGCAAGTGGATGTTTAACCACAGTCATGTAGCATTGGTAAGCCAGTGGTTGTTTAACCACAGTCATGTATCACTGGTAAGCAAGTGGATGTTTAATCCTAGCACCAGTACGTCAGCGGCTGCTGATTACTGTTATGCTTAATCGCAAAAACTCAGCACCAGTACATCATCAGTGACTTAATAATACTCAGCTCCATCATTGTGACTGGTCATCTTCTAACAAAGAACGTCAGGAGATACTCTCCTTGTGTCTCCCTACAAGCACATTACCACTCACCCATTATCAAAAAATGGCGTGGAGGAAATTTAGTTACCTTCTGTGTGTCCGACCATTATTTTGTATTATAAAGTTGACACGCGACCAGCAAAAAATAAGATAAACGCAGAAATGTCCATAAAATGTTTAATGTTAGTACAGTCATTCTGTGGTAATAAACACATGCGTAAGAAAACACGTGTTTAAGTGAATCTGAATTGCAGAATTTAAGGTGTGGGACCCACTACTATGACACCACCGATCATGTAATACCAGAGGTGAACCCTGTCTGGATAATACCCACTGGAAACTGCACTTAGGCACCTACCATGATAAACATCAGTAACGTCACTCAAAAAATATATTCTTCACTTGATCAGTTACAAAATTCTTGCTAAAATTACAATTATGCTGAATGATCCACAGGTTATGGTTGGTTTAAGGTAAAAAATGTCACAATATACTTTAACGGTGATAACATTCTTTTAAACTACTTTAAGTCATATAGTATAAACTTGGATAAAACGGAGATAAAAAAGATAGATATTTAACAATTAATAAACAATATAACACCAGTTTGTTTTATTATCTTTCTTTCTTATAGCATCTTTCTTATTCGTACAGCGTAAATCTTTCATATTTTTAATGTGTAGTAAAAATTTTGAACGAGCTGATTACTCTCAAACGAGAATAATTTAAAAATGACTCCTTCGAGTGAATTGGCCAATGCTATCACTCTTGCACCAGAGATGCACCCCATCTTTTGTATTAATATCATGTAATCAAGTTTGCTATAGAAGTTATCCTAGTTGTCAATGAATGAAATTCTAAGTTTCTTCCAGTATTTGTGTAGCCTACAATTTAATCCAAATAACCTGAATATTTATTTATTGCCCAATCTCCTTCTAGGTAAAATGTCACATGTGATATTGATCCCTTTCTCTGATAGGATTAGATCAATGTTTGCCTGTAGCTGGCCAGCAACTGTTCACGTTTGCATTTCCCATTATTAATTTTTCGGTCCAATGACCTTGATCATTTTGAAGTCGGTTCGGTCCTGGGACCCTGATCACTTTGAAGTGATCAAGGTCCCAGGACCGAAACACTTTCTAATAAAGATGTCCATTGTTTGCTCACGTGTCTTAAAACCAAATGTTGGTATCAGTTACCAGGGTTTATACCAAGCTACAAGTCGCTGATGTGGTGGTCGCCACCACTGAACGAGTCATTCAATGACAAAGATCCGTTCATGATTTTTTCTGACGAGTAAACTAACAAGAAGGACCGGATCAGCAGTAGTTTGCTTGGTTTAAAGCACGAGGGTCGTTAAGGCTACGATGCTCCTGTTCACTAATATCAAGAATACATTAAAAATATCTTGAAAACGAATTTAAATAAACCGTGTACAATATATACAACTCTCAATTTATAAACACTGAGAGACACACCTCTCAGTGTCATGTGCGCTGAGAGATGCACACCTATCAATGTACGCTGAGAGACGCACATCTCTCGGGTTACATACCCACACGTCTCGGTGCATACTCTGAGATACACACTTCTCTTGCGTTTATATTCGGCCGCAACTAATCTTCAGTAAGAGTCTTAAGAGCAACTCAAAAATTTAAACCCCCTCGGCTATTATCATCATCGAAGAGATGAAAAAATCTTGAGCCTCATTGGCAATAGTTTTACTCCTCCTCCCCATTCCCCATCCTCTTTCCTCCTTACCCTTTCCCCATCCATTGAGGCAGACCGGTTCTAACAAAATAAACAATTAATCATTGCAAGCCAATCAAGCCTGCTTTTTTCAGCAAGTATTTTGTTGATATTTGGAGAGAGTAAACAAAATGATTAAACTTAAATCGCCAGTTAAAAACATATGAACAAATTCTTCAAAAGTTCAGCCAGGAAGCTTGACAGTGTTTCCTACACTGTTATACATCTTTGAATGCTTGGTTCATACTGCCAAATTAAAAGCAGGTATATATTATTTTTAAATTAATAACTTCGCATATATTCGCTACTTTATACTAAAATTATACCAGAATTTATACTATAATTTTTAATTTAAATGAAAACGGAAAGATACTCACGAAATATATAGAAATTAGTTAAATTATCAAATCAAATTCTTTGCATTTGGCACTAATTACTATAGAGGAGCACAGAAAAGCCAATAGTTGTGGTAAACATCTCAATAAATTATATATGTATGTTAAAGTATACCACTAAGAAGCAGCAACCACTCACCCTCAGCCAAGAATATTCTCTGACTCTAATGACCATTCTAAGTTACAAAGAGTGAAAGGAAAAACCATGTTAGTGTTAAGACGTGTGAGGGATCATGGAGAAAGTAGGTGAAGAACCCCCATAGGATAAGCACCTGTTACCCGCATCATTGTCATCACACACATTGGAAAAATAGCGACTTTTTCAGTTACCACCAAAGACTTCATTATTTTCACGTCGAAAAGGTAGTGTTGAATTGACATTATATTGTCACTCTTGTAACAATACACTGGTTATGTCTGATGTAAAACAAAAGATTCGTCCCAGGTCAATGGCGACGGCATTTTTCACTTTGGCCAAATTTATTTTGCATTTCTTCCATAATCTGGTCGTAGATTATTGAATTCTTGGCAACAAAAGGATCTCTCCAAGCTTCATCTTGGCTTTACTTTTGTTCCTTTTCTTAATCCCAGGAGCATGGACGAGGAACGCTCTGTCTAAGATGACGAAGTTGTAGTCTCGGAGACACAGCTCGTGCATCTGTGGTTGTAAAGTTGACTTTAGAAAAACTATTAATACAAATGTTATTACTGATTCATAAAAGATAATACGGGCCTGATTGAAGCTTTTATTTTCCCACTGAATAATAAACCTATAGAAAAGTCTACCCTAGGAACCTCAATGGATATATATAACATTACAGGATATTACTGCGTTACACTAGGTGAAATCTATACAATTTATAACATATGTATACCCATAATATGTATGTACCCTCACTGCCAATGCATGAATTCGTACAACTTTTTGCAATTTAAAGCCATCTGTAATCTCCCAATAAAAACACTTACCTACTCAAACCTGTTCATCCAAATATTGTCATAATTCAGTCTTCACCTGGAAAAAACTCATGTGCAGGTGGTCCTGCAGAAGTCATTGACTACCTACCCTAAGCTAGACATGCATGTAAAGGAGTATCACTGAAAATTAATGACGATAAAGACAGAGGCAGCGCAGCAAGCTTGGCTGCGTACAGAGCTTTATTGATAAAGCACCACACAGCCAGAAAGTTGTCTCCGTCAATGATTGTTTTGTAACCTGCGTCTGTGTCTTCCTTTATCCTCAGAGAGTTGTTGACTACCTAAATACACTAGGCTGACATACACATAAAAAATGGAAAGTAATTTTTTGAAAGCAATTAGGCTTCGGTCAGCACATCAGTTGTTACTGATAGTATACAATATTAACAAACTGTTGAAGAGACATTTGCAATACTTGAGAGTTTATTGTCGAAACTTTTCACGTGCAAAACATGATTCTTCAGTCAAATACCGCTGCATCCAGTGCTTTATTCACATGTATTCGACCGAAGACGAAAGCTGTGCTGCAGAAACGCTTCGGTAACAAGGATACCCAAGTGTTGTAAATATGACATTCAGCTCATAGGTGGATTTTCAAAACTGATCCAACTGTAGTGGTGAATGCTATTCTACATCCATTTGTAATGTGAGACATTCGCAAGGTAAGATTTGAAGCTTACGTGAGCCATTTGCAAGGTGAGACTTGAAACTTACCTGAGTCATTTTGTCCTGGAGACCCTCCCAAGAGAGACGCTCGTCGTAGAGTGGTTCGTCCTTCGTGCAGATGTAGATGGGTTCCCAGCGATGGTATGGGAACTGTCGCTTCACCACCGAGAAAACCTGAATAAAAACATTTTCATTGAGATAAACCATTCATATGTATGAAGCCACTTAACATGCTCTTGCTATTATTACTTTTATATTCGTGCGAAGAGCAAAAGATATTTATTTTCTAACCCTCATGATTGTATAACACGTGATAATTTATTGTACATAGCGAACTGTAAAAAAAAATGGATCTTTAAATGGGGGTGATTGTTATAAGAGAAGAAATCCTTTTATTCGTGTAATAATAGCAACTGGGGCATACCATGTTTTGCGTTCAGCACATAATCGAAAGTGCCAGTGTCGAATCCTGATCGAGGTATGCTTATGACCTAGTCTCCTAACACCTGCTTTTCCCTGTTACCTAGCAGTAAATATATGTCACATACTTAAGAATTACTCAACTACTGTGGGTCATAGTTTGGGTAAGGCCCTAAAAAAAGATCCAATTGGAAGCAAGCCACAACGCTTCGAGTTCTTGGCTTATCCTGAATTATTTACCCACCGAGGTTACTACTCGGAATAATGTTGATTAAAATTTTAAGTTCACTGTATACAGGAAGGCCACTAATGTTTGTTCCTATATCGATTACTTCTCCAATCATGAAACTACAATAAAAAGGAAGGAATATTTTTCTCACTGCATTTGTGAGAGCCTTGCGAGTTTGTAGCCCTGAGTTTTTCATTGAGAATGTTACGAAAATCTTTCATATTGCTGTGAAACTATGGTACCCAAAGGAGTTTGTGGGAAAGGCTTCGTTAGCAGTTAAGAAAACTTTTTATAAACTATACCACGGATGGTAATAGAACCCGCGATTAGTCTCAAAACGCCAGACCGTCGCATTAGCCACTGTGGCTAACACGACTGTCTGGAGTTTCGAGACTCTGATTGCGGGTTCTATTCCCGTCCGTGGTATGGTTTGTCTTTGCAATCGAGTGTCATTACGAATACTTCGTTTTACCTCTGGAGTTTTAACCCTAGAGCAGTTCGGGGCGTCAACGCCCCCGCGGCCCGTCTGAGACCAGGCCTCCTGTGGATTCAGAGCCCTCTGATCAACCAGGCTGTGCTGCTGGCTGCACGCAAACCAACATACGAGAGCCACAGCCCGGCTGAAATTTCCGGAACTGACTTTAGGTGCATGTCCAGTGCCAGCTTGAAGACGCCAGGGGTCTGTTGGTAAACCCCCTTATGTGTCCTTGGAGGCAGTTTGAACTCTCGGCCCCTGACACTTATTGTATGGGTCTTCTTAACGTGCTAAGTGGACACCCCAGACTTTTTCATTGGGGGATGGTGGCACTCGTCTGCCAAGTCTTTGCTTTCGTAGTGGGTGATTTTCCGTGTGCAAGTTCGTACTAGTCCCCCTAGGAATTTTTCAGGAGTATATAATTCATTTATCTGCTCCCTCCTGCGATCCAGGAATACAGGTTTAGGAACCTCAAGCGCTCCCAATAATGGAGGTTTCTAATCTCGTTACTGCGCGCCGTGAAAGTTCTCATGTACATTTTTCTAGGTCGCCATTTTCACCATGCTTGAAAGGTGCTGTTAGTGTGCCAATATTCAGCCTAGATAGAACAAGTGACCGAGAGTGTCATCATGGGCTTTGGCCTCCCTAGTTTTGAAGGTTCTCATTATCCATCCTGTCATTTTTCTAGCAGATGCGATTGTTACAATGTTTATGGTCCATGAAGGGAGTCCTCCGACATGAGCACCCCCATGTCTTTGACGTTGGTGTTTCGCTCTATTTTGTGGCAGAATTTGTTTTGTACTCTGATTGAAGATTTAATTCCTCATGTTTACCATATCGAGTAATTGAAATTTCTCATCGTTCACTTCATATTGTTTTCTGCAGCCCCCACTGAAAGTTTTGGATTGATGTCTGCCTGGAGCTTTGCAGAGTCTGCAATGGAAGACACTGTCATGCAGATTCGGGAGTCATCTGCAAAGAATACACGGTGCTGTGGCTGACATCCTTGTCTATGTCCGATATAAATGAGCAACAAGATGGAGCGAGTACTGTGTCGGTTGGCGGGAGGGGGGTGGGGGGGGGGGCGTGTGGAAACACAGCTTTCTCAACCGTAGCTGCCTCGGACTTTACTCCCTACTGTTGACGACTACTCTCTGACGTTCGTTAGTGAGGAAATTATAGATCCAATCGACCCGACTTTTTCCTGTTATTCCTTTACACGCATTTGTGCGCTATTACGCCCATGGTCACACTTGCGAAAGGCTTTTGCATAAAGTCTGTATAAAACTTACATCTGCATTCCTCTTTTTGTCTCCTATTCATTTAGGACACTTGTCGTAGTGGTCCAACTTAGTTGTGACAGACAGGAGCGACTCGTTCTAAACCCATGTTGCCCTGGGATGTGTAACTGATGTTTCTAGATGCGTGTGATCTTGCTTCTTAGGGACCTTCATAGACTTTTATGATAGGGATGTTAGTCGCCTATTGGTTCTGGTAGTTTTTTTTCTTTGCGGCTGTTGCTTTACTGCCCTCCTTTGTGGAGTGGGGCTTGTCGGTTGTTTTTAGTAACTGTGGGACGACCCCCGTGTCCATGCTCCCTCTCCATAGGATGGAAAAGGCTCGTGATAGGGGCTTCTTGCAGTTCTTGATGAGTCAAGACTTTTATAGAACTGACTTGCACAGTTTAAGAATGTGCTAGTTCTCCACATTCAAGAGAAGCTATTTGTTCTTCCGAATGTCCTATAAAGATTTAACATAAAATTAGTCTTCAGGGATGGTTAAAAGCATGTTGCTCAAGAACTCGTGAAAAAAAAAACCCTGTGTAGGTGGTGTTTAGAGTGGGGTGCAGCAGTTGAAATTTATGTTAAGTGAGACAGACATGTAAACCCCTGGATGTTAGGTTGGCACAACACACGAATTTGATATGAATAGCACAAGAATCTAATGCAGAGGTTCTTAACCTATTCACGATTACAGACCCCCAATGGAGTATCAAAATCATCATTATCACCAGTCCTATTAGGTACCAGTGTGACTTCAAAAGATGTCAATAGCTTGATTTTACTTTACATATGGATAGCTAGGAACAGAACAGCTAAAAGAAAATCATAAAAATTTTCTCACATTTATTTATAGAAATATTGCAAATTGTACAGAGACTGATTCCCATGCAATACTGAATCACACATGTGAATGCAATAATCCAACAAAATGGTTGGAAGCCAGGATTATAGTTCCTAGTTCGAATTGGCTGGAAAGAAACATCTTTGAATCAGTAATTATAAAACATGATACCCTTTCATTATATAATAATAGTTTAGGTTTGTTCAAACTAGATGTATTTATGATAGGCAATCCTGGAGATTACCTGGAGAGGGTTTCGGGGGTCAACGCCTCCGCGGCCCGGTCTGAGACCAGGCCTCATACATAATCTCATACTGGATAATTTCATGAATTCTCTGGACTGCCGTAAATGCCGTGATTTCTCACAGATACACCCCGATGATACTTAGCGCGATAAGCAAAAATCTTAACGTTTTTTTTCCATGGTATGGACCTCTCACTCTTGTGTTAGCACCGTACTTCTCCCAGTGGATTGAAAGACGACCGTTTCTTTGTTTATTCACTACTGTAGTTAGGTGTGGGCTCTCCATCTCCCTCGTCCGTTATCACAGTAAACCTAGTCATTGATTTCTGATTTCTTAAATATTTCAACATTATGGATATTGCAATTTTGCCTGTGCAAAAACTCATGCTTCACAAACGGTGAGGGTCTGGGTGTCGATTCCCAGCGAAAGGGGTGGAAACCCTTCGGACGTGTTTCCTTACATCGGTTCGTCCTATGTGTTACACCCATCAGTAAAATGGGTACCTGGGTGTTAGTCGACTGGTGTGGGTCGACATCCCTTGGATAAAACTGACCTAATTTGCCCGAAATATACTACAAAAACATTCAGTTAGGCCAGTATTGCCATGTACTTGTAGTAAAATAAACCTAAAACGCTTCTTTGTTATTGTGACAGAACCCACAGCATAAACACCAGACACAAACATCTCTACGACATTCCCCGTGTCCGACTAAACTTTACAAAAATTCAATGTATGTCTAAAGGCCCCTAAACTCTGGAATACCCTACCTGAGGAACTCCTAGAACTGCAGACAACATTTCATCCACCTTCGAAAACTACCATTAGAAAACATCTATATCTCCCTGATACACCCCGTCAACTAACTACACAATATCCACCTGGAGTTCACATCTTACAACTCACTCACTTCAATTGACCACAAACATACAACATTAATCTCAGTTCCCTTAACATTAATGAATCCTGTGATACTCCAATACTGGATACTACGTACAGTGTCAAACAAAAGCATTCACATTGGCTAAACTCACAACTAGTATTTAGTGTCCTTAGTCCATAAATACCAACTTACCTCATAATTGTAATATTCTATACAATTAAGAATAAAACTAAGTATGCCCTGAAATGCCTAGCCATGCAAGCGTTTCTAGTGGTAACTCTGTAATCCACAATTTTACTAAACATGTAAACCAAACAATACCAAATTTTCTGTAAAACTCAGCATTGTATTCCTTATATTAGAGAATAACTTTGAAATGGCCCAGGGTGGCTAAAGCTCCCCGTCTTCACACAACGGAGGGCCCGGGTTCGATTCCCGGCGGTGGCAGAAACATTTCAGACACGCTTTCCTTACAACCTATTGTCCTGTTCCACCTAGCAGCAAATAGGTACCTAGTGTTAGTCGACTGGGTGTGGTCGCATCTGGGGGCCAAGATTATAGGACCCCCAATGGAAATAAGTTAGACAGTCCCTCGATGAACGCACCTGACTTTCTTGGTTATTATGGTCTGCCTAACCCTCCTGGTTAAAAAATCCGAACGTAATCTTATCTATCTTATAAATTGAGGTAACAACACATCATTTTTCCGTTGAGTCAACCCGTATGTGTAGCACGTCTCGTTTTCTTTAATACCGCATTTTCTTTGCACAGTATAAATAAAATTGATAGCATATCCTAATGCAACGACAATTTTTCGAGTTGATAAGATAAGTACTTCGTTCGGATTTTAAAACCCCGAGGGTTTAGCCAACCAGGATAAACCCATGAAAGTCAGTGCGTCATCGAGACGTCCACTTATTCATTTGGCGTCCTTAATCTTTGTCCCCCCAGGATGCGACCCACAGCCCAGTCGACTAATACCCGGTCACCCTATTCGCCAGCTAGGTGACCAACAGGTCAAAGGAAACGTGGTGAAATGTTTCCCCACCCGCCGGAATCGAACCCGGTGTGAAGCGGGAGCTTCTAGCCACCAGGCAACCGGCCTTCTAATCGAAGTCCCAAAACCTAGAAACTGGTGAATTATACAGATTAATCTTTCGTTAACGCTTCGTTACCACATATTTAACGGAAGGAAGTTGTTGAAACTAGATAAAGTTAAAAAAAAAGAAGTTAAATGTAAATGTAAATAATTCTTTTTACCTTATTCCTAGGATATATCCTATATAGTTTAATAATAAGATATTATCTCTGATCGCGTCGGTCTGGAGTTTTGTGACTCTCTGATCGCGGGTTCTAACCCCACCCTTGATGACTGTAAAGTAAACCAGAGTTTAGCTTCTTGACGCAAATGAAAACAAATATAATTTCATACCTTTAGAATGCCAGATTTCCCTGGCTGACGTATCCAGTCTGTGAGAGCAGGAAAGCGTTGGCAGTGAGCGCACACATGGCGGTGGAAGTAGACAGCATCCTTCTGATGGTACTGTTGCACCAGCTCCTCCTTATCAGTAGGCACCACGGCAGCCACCTCGAACACAGGCACCACGAACACCCGAGGTGACGCCGCTGACACTCTTCTCTCTTTTCCGGAGTTTATCCTTTGAACCAGTGCCAGGAACTGATCGACGAGGCCATGTGATGGATAAAGTTCCACGTCTGAGGGAAGCACAAACCACGTGGGGGCTGCAACTCGTGCAACATTGCGAGCAACGTTCACTGGATATGGCAGGACTTCTGTTGCACGATACCCACGCACTAATGAGGTTTTGTCTGCATTGCAATCAATGGTATTTTCTTTCACTATAAGGTGCCAATCAGCTGCAGGAGGGGCATCACGTGGCCAGAAGATGTGCCACGAGACACGTTCCTTCACTGCAGGAGGGCCACATACACGCAGGTAAGCCACACGAGCAGCTGCTAAACAGAAGTCTGAATGAGGAACAAACAGTGCTACAGAAATAGGCCCGGTCCAGCGGGACGCCAGTGCTGCTACGTGGGCGATCATCTCAGGTGTGGTGTGTGTCGTGTAAGTGACCGACTCATTGAGAGTGAAGGTTTGAGCAGCGGGAAGCCAGTCATACACCACACTGTAGGGACTGCTCTCCCCCAATTGAGGGGAGCTACGAGATACTCGTCGCTGCCCTGAAGGTACGAACGTGAAGGAGGTACACATGAGGTGGGCGGGATCATCGTGTTGGCGAGGCTCTTCGGTGGCATCAGAAGGTGAATCCTCAGAGTCTTGCGGGGGGCAAGCCAGCAGGGCACAAGGGGCAGCTAGGAGCAGCCATGCCCCAAGAATCACTGCTACTGCCACACATGCCCACCGTTGCCAGCGCCGCCACGCCCGCGCCCACACCATACCGGGCGCCCACACCATACAGGAGACTGTTCCACACGCCCACCATCTACCACCACCCTCACCACCCCTCACCTCCTGCAAGGAAAAATTATACAATATACAGACACTGCAGTAAAAAAAATCTAGGATATTAAATTCTCCGAATTTGTGCTGATGATTCATAAACAACAAACGGACCATTCAATACGCGGCTTAATCTACCATACATGAGTTAGTTATATCATATTGAAGGTTCAGAGAAACATGATCCGATTTCCAAGTATGATTTCACAGTTGAAAATCTATTAAAAACATCGAGAGGACTTTGAAATAGGAATTAGAAGGCTTGGTTTCATTGAAAGCTTAAAACTTCAAAATGTCAGAACAATTATGATATTATTATTATTACAATCAAGGGGGAAGCGCTAAAGCCGTAGGATTAACAATTGTGATAAACTGTAAACCGCGTGTCAGACCTCACCTTGTATCCGCACTTCAATTCGGGTCCTAAATTGCATAAAACCGAAGGTAAACTGTAAATGTGTTGTTACGTGATGAGATCCTCGTTCCTTAAATAATAATAATAATAAAAAACTTTTATTTAAAATAATTATGCAAAATTACACAACTAATTTAAAAGCCCGTAGTATGCACAGCATTTCGGGTTAACTCAGATTAGATTATTATTATTATTTTTACCCTCAAAACTAAGCGCAAAACCCTCAAGGGTCATATAGTGTTGCAGAGTAGGATATTCTAAAGATGAAATATGCGAAGATCAGAGATCAGAGAGAGTTAGGAGTATGCGAGAGGCAGAGTCAGTAATGGTAGTGGGGGAACGCTAAAGGGAAACTAGAAAGTTGGTGTAATAAAGCAGTCACTGAGACAGTCAAAGATGGAGTCTGCGTCAAAGGTGGGGCTTTCGGCAAGGAGGCCAGATAAAGTAAGTGTGTTAGAGCGGTAACACCGTCAGAAAAAAATTCTGCATGTCCGTTGATAGAACAGTCTATTAGTAGATGGTGTATTGATAGCGGAACCTGACAATTCTCAGAGCGAGAGGCGTATCTGATACATGACGGTGACGATAAAAAGACCAGAAATCTAAGCAAGGCTTGACAGAATACAATTTATTATGGATCAACTCAAACCACTATCATCGCCAACGACTGGAAGTTGCCTAGAGATTACTGCAAAATAGTCCGAGAATATAATACCCCTGTATGAAATGAGGTCATAAATAGCTGACCGTGCATCAAAGTTTACATGCTCACTGCCTGGAACATTCACATGTTCAGAGACCCAGTAGAAAATGATGTCTTTTACTAAATTTCTTTTATTAGAAATGTATCCCAACCAAAGTTGCATACGAAGAACGAGGGGATGAGTAGAATCAAATTTTTGGAAGCCTGTAAAGCACTAAAGGAGTCTTGAAAGCACTACGAATGTTGAGGTTGGCAAGGATGTAATATGTTTAACAGTGATGAGAACTGCTTATAGCTCAGTTGTAAAATGCTAGCCGAGTCTAATAAATGACCTCGCAACTCTGTCCGGAAAAAAATTGCTGCAAACCTTCCTGATACCGTCAGAGGATTTAGAACCATCAGTGCAAATTGCAATGGCATGAGAATGAGACGTAGTTAAGAAAAGGAAGAGAGAAGCTATAGTAGGTAATTGAGCATTCCCGCAAGGAAGTGGGGAAAAAAAGACACGAATTGTCCAGACTTCCCAAGGGGAAAGAGAAAAGCTAGACCCTGGATGGACATATGTTATGCAGGTTACTGCATTAATGTGAAGAGAGTTGACATTGTAGGAAGAAGGTGCTCCATAATTTTACAAATGTCAGCATACTGGACCGTATTTAGAGAAGTGACGTCACAGGGTCACTAGAGGAAAGCGTGGTGGTGGTGATGTGATAAGGCCAGGCAGTAGGCTGGTTTTGGATTTATATTAACGCTCACATGGGACCTGGTATGGGCCTGCCCCTGTTGTTTGATTGGTGCCTGTGTCTTTTTGAGATTCTGAAATAATAGCACAATAAACAAGAGGCTAGAAGCCGACTAGGGTGATTAGGACCACCCCACTGGTACAGGGTAATGTCTGCTTTTCATTCTATGTCCTAGGCTTAATTAACTAGTAGTGGTATACTAGGGAGTTTTGTAAAATATGTTAAAGGCAAGTTGTGTGTTCTGTATATTATTATGCAGAATAGATATATTTTTCTAAAGGACCATTTAATTATAATAAAAAAGCGCTAAACCCACTAGAGTCATACAGCACTGACCATTTAATTAGGTAATAATGTGATGGGCTTTCTTGAAAGTGAGGAACCCTTAGTCTGGAGGGACCCAGAATCTTAAGTTTGGGAGGATAAAGCTAGAACTGTCTCCAGTGTGTGGTGTAACTGGTAAATGTGAAAGGGAAAAGCTTCTGTGCCTCTCCTTGCTTCTTCTGATGCTAGAGAAGATCTGAGTTTAGGAAATCTGTTCTAGAGCCTAGCCTGCAGGAGGCCCAGGGTAATAATGAGCCAACCCAGGTGGGACCCAGTTTGCGTGGGGGTCTAGAAGATGCCACAGGAATGGCAACTCCGATTCGGGAGCAGCTGATAGAGGCCCAGGGGTGTGACGTTACCCTTGAAGCTATTCGGTCATCGGCTTTTACCGAGGACGAAGCCTCTCAACAAATTAAATGTTTTTTTACAAAGTTTTTTTAATGAGAATGATTATCTGATGAAGTATCTTCTGATGGAGCAAGAGAGGCATTCTACCAAGTGGTTGTGCCAGCCATTTAGGTGTCAGATCTTGAGTTTGGCCCATGATGCTCTTATGGGAGGACATTTAGGTATTAAAAAGAACCATGGGCAAAGTTTCCAAGCATTTTTACTGGTTCCAGGTATGGGAATCAGTGAGCATGTTGAATCATGTCCTATTTGCAAAGGGTAGGAAATCATTATTATAATCATGGGGGAGCATTAAACCCGTAGGATTATAGCGCCTGTGGGGGGATGGAAGGCATTCAGGCTCAACTCAGGGAACTGGACCACAGATCCAATCCCCTAGATCAAGATCCCCTCACCAGCGTCAAGGAACCTCCCTTGAGGAGAAAGGGTAGGAAAACCTAACCAGGAAGTTAAGCCTGCCTCATTTAAACCAATCACAGCAGTTGAAGAACCCTTTAGCAGGCTAGTTGTGGACTGTGTTAGTCCGCTACCCAAAACTAAGATGGGTAACTAGTACTTATTATTGTTTGTTCTCTTAGGTTTCCCGAGGCCATCCTGCTACTTAAAATTGCTACGCATGTGGTTTTTGAACTTTAGTAACATTTTTTCTTATGGAAGTAGAAGTCCCTAAGGAAATTCAGACAGATCAGGAGTCAAATTTTACATCTAGACATTTTCGCAGTTTTAGGGGAATTTAATATCGCAAATGAAAACCTGTGCAGCCTATCACCCACCGGGGCCAGGAGCTGAGTCTCGACCCCTGCAACTACAATTAGGCGAGTAGAGTCAAGCGGTGTCACCAGTCTCTCAAGACTATGCTACGTGCTTATTGTACTCAGTATCAGAAACGGGATGAAGGTGATCCCCCTCCTTTTATTTGCCGTGAGGGACAGTACTCACGAATCATTAGGCTATAGTCCTTTCGAACTGATCTATGGTCACCAAGTCAGGGGGGCCATTGGCTGTTTTGAAGGAACATTAGCTAGGTAATAATAATGATACTTTCTTCTCGGAGCATTTTCTATCAAGAGACCATTTGGCTCATATGAAGTGCCTAGCATATGAGAACCTGCACACTAGACAGACTAAAATGAAGAAATTGTTCGACCGTACTCTTGAAGTTACAGAGGAGGTGCTGGCACCGAAGCCATTGAAAGCAAGGTACAGTGGGCCGTACAGGGTGGTGATAAACGTTTTTGCTTGCTGCATCAGTCACCACTGAGTCCCCTTGCTGTATCAGTCACCACTGAGAGTCTCCATGCTGCATCAATCACTACCAAGTGTATTCTTGCTGCATCATTCACCACAGTGTCTCCTTGCTGCATCACTCACCACTGAGTGTCTCCTTGCTGCATCACTCACCAGTGTCTGCTTGCTGCATCAGTCACCACTGAGTGTCTGCTGGCTCTATGAAGTCACCAGTAACGCTCTTAACAACGATTCAACACTAGTTTCTGCACTTTTTCTTTAGTTTTGTGGGTGTCTCAATTTACACTAGTGTACAATAAGTGTACAACTGGTGTACACTATTGTTCAAACCTTAATAATAATTCTTGGGAGTTTGGGAGGTAGCAAGTGCGTCACAGTTATTGACTGAACCATGGCCACTCAATAATGTCACTGGTTATTCGAGTGAAACGTGACGTCATGCATGTATATTTCAGCACAGCCTGTACGTTACCATCCATCACTGTAACGTTCCTGGGCGAGGCGCTGCAGTGTTGCTCTGATGACAGACACTCAAGGTATATGCTGACAGTGGCTCTCTATCATCCCCGTTCGTTGGCGCGCGTAGTAAGTTAGTTGGTTAATTGGGTTTAAAATCTATCAAACAGGTGATTAAAACCAACTTTCGGAGCATATACAGACATACACCTCTTGATGGATACATCTTGGGTGTGTAGCTGGGAAGGTAAACATTAATAACATTAATAAAAGGCAACTTTATAATGTAGGGCATAATTCCCAGAATCAAGAAACACGAACAAGTTACAGATGAACTTTGAAGTTGCAAGACATGCAAAACTCGTGCATGTCAGTTAGCACAAGTTGTGTTGCAGGCTCTGTAAATAAAAGTTTATCTATCTCGCCTCATAGATATATGGTATTGCTGTGATAAATGTGAGGCTTGATAAGTGATTTCATAATATTTCGTTGAACTATTACGTAATTCTTTGCCAATAGTCCAATCTACACAATGGCCTGTTGCCATCATATGAATGAATAAATCAATGGCTTCTTGTTCAGTAGTTATTGCATACTTATCTTGTTTAAATCTGGTCTCAAGTGACTTACCAGTTTGTCCAAGATAAAATGTATCACAGCTTTCACAAAGAATGGCGTACACACAATTCAGTGATACTTTCGGAGCATTTTTAAC